ATAAAGGGGGCAGAGAAAGAAAGGTTTGAGTCTTCGTTTTCTTTTAGCATTATAGATATTACTAGCTACAAAAGGGAATTTTGTTTCTAAAGTGATTAGGTTATTTCAAACATAGATATTATGCAGTTATGAATAGCCTGTTGAAGTAAAAACAGGCAAGTCAGAAGGGTAATTTCAAAATGTAATAAACTTATTTTGCTTTTAACAGTGTTTAAGCCTCTGTTTTTGAACATGCATCAAAACATTAAAAAAAACCCAACATTATCTACTTGCAGCTTACTCTTCTTCCTTTGGATGATAACCGTGTATTTCTTTTTGAGGTTTTAAAATATTTCTATTCTTTTAAATGCTTGTCTGTTGGATATGGCTGGGTTTTGTAAGAATACAGAACAGTAATTGTAATTTGTTTCTCTGGGGATACAATTAATGCTAAATATCTAAAAATGTTTCTTGAAATTAGTGTAGAATAGATGTAATTCAGTTCCATAAACCTGCAACGTTAACATAATGCCAAATACTTCGTTTTGTTCAAAGTGATGTTGGGTTGCATTAAAGCTAGCAGGAAGGATGCATACTTTTTTTGCCAAAGGAAATACAGAAAAAGTTATCGGAATCAAATGGACTATTTTCTGGTTATTACTTTTGTATAACTCCACTGGTGTGGACTAAATAACTAAACTTTATTTCATTTTTACTAAGTAGAACCCCTCCCACCCCCCCAATTATTGCTCTAATTCTAAAATGAATAAAACTTGTAATAGGTTTTTAGTGCTTCAGAAAATGTTTTCAAGGTTTGTCATTGTTGCGCTTGCAGCTGAACAAGTGATTGGGCTGTTTGAAAATGGATCTGAGAAAGCAGAGAGGTGACTTTTTACAAAATGGTCACTTTATATATTTCAGTGTTTTCTTTGCTTTTGCTACCTTTGAATCAACTGCTTAAAAGAATGAGTAAGATATTGATTAAAAAGTGTAACATACTGTATGCAAGATATGGTGGGGTTTTTGTTAATCAAGACAGGCTTGTAGAGAAATGTATTTGTCAGACCTTTACTTGAGTACAGTGAATTAAGGAAAGATGCTTCCTAAACTTGAATTCACTTGCTTTACTTGTTTTGATTCGTGGTTATATTAGCTTAATGTGGTTATCTGGATTGCCGAGCAGTCAAGAATTTGAATCGTAGGAATAACCTTAAAATTAGGAGATCTAACAAAGAAGAAACAATTACAGATTCTGAAGTTGCTGTACATGGTTTTAGTGTCAAAGATTAAGGTAAACAGATAATGATGTGTCTATTTAGTCTTTAAACACAGATTAATAATCTATTATTCCTAGGGACTGTAGGAAAGGTTTAACAGATTATTGAAGAAAGCCATAGGGTTACAGATATATGCAGCTAACTGTATATAGTAGTCTATAGAAAAATTATTTTTTTGTAAATTATGAAATGTCATGAATCATTTTTCTTAGGCAGTCTTGCTTTTGTCAGCCCAAAGAAGAAAGCTATATTATTAGAATTTTAGTAATTTTAAATACTTACCTTACTCTTTGCATAGCTGCTTACGTCTAGGTTTAGACTAGAATTAATGAAAACGTGAATAATTGACTAGTATTCGAGGTTTAATAAAGTTAAGTTCAGAGCATGGATTAAGAATAGGAAAGAAAATTTTTATGCTTGTGATGCAAATTAAAGCCAAAGTCTATCTCAAACATACATACCATGAAATTTCATTGTCGTCAATATGGTGTTTGTCAGTGCAGAACTGGACTGATTACTGAAATATAATTACCTTTGTGGACGAATTTGGTGGCAGGGGGAAGTATCTCCTAAGATACTTCAGCAATATTAAAGTAGCACCCTTAAAGGCCTGTTATTTCTAATGCACTTTAAACTGTAATTGAATAAAAAATGACTGCACTGGACTATTTTGAGAAATCTTTACCATTGTGCAACATGTAATTATAGAATTTTGCATCTAAATATTCCAGCATAAAAATATTTTCTCACTTTCCAAGTAATACACTTTTTATAATATTAGAGGAATTGTTCTATTACTACAATAATAGTTTCAGAGGATAACCTTTCCCAAAAGTTAAGCATTTAGGGCAGCAATAGCAATATTGCTGTTCGTGTTTGACTTCAGTAGTCAGAAAAGTTTTGGGTTTTTTCGTTGCTTTCAACTTTTGCTAATTAAGATTTTTCTTATAAGATAATGACTTATACCTTGTGGTCCAAAATGTGCGGTTTAGACTTTTAATCATTCCCTCATTCAAAACCAAACTATTCTAAAAACTTATAGGCTTTTTTTGGTGCAGGTAGACAATGCCATACTTTTTACTGATGGTATAAGCCATTATTTTACTGAGAACCATTAGCTATTTAAAACTTCGTGCATAAATTAAAGAGGAGCTAAATGGATTTGCAGTTGTTGCCATTAGTAGCATTTTAGATTATACAGGCAATTATTGTGTTCATTATCGTAGAGCAGCCCCTTTGCAAAACTATTGTGGTTGTCTTAGACATTATGTACAAATTTCCCCTTGGAGAATAAAATTTCCAGTGGTGTGTTTAATTTTGTTAACACAGTTGTTTCAAATAGAACAAATATTATGACAAGTAGAAGAAAATTTGGTTTTCTGATATGGGAAATAGCAATAAATGTGGAAAATTACTTCAATTCTTAAGTCATCTATTTCCTATATTGTCATAATTATTCAGGGTATGATTATTTTCAAAAGGAAAGGAATCATTTTCTTAAGATGGTATATTTTACAAATGCTTTGATAAAATCACAATGTAGTTAAAATTAAGTTTACCCACTTTTTCAATATTCAGATGAATTCTAGAGAATATTGCTGAATTTCTACATGAAATGTGTCTGGATAAGTCAGCAGTGTTTCATTAGTTTGAGTGCAGAAGTTGCTTAAGTGGAAAGGCACAGAATTAAACTAATTAAGTGTATTTCAGTACTTTATAGTAACTAATTTTTGAGAAATGGAGAATGCATTTCTATTAAAACTTAGTTTCTTTGTGTGCCGTAAGTAGGCTTTTGCAATTGCCTTCACTTGGCTATAGGAAATTAAAATATTAAAATTGACTACGGCCAATAGTATGATCTACATTAAAAAGGATGACATTATTAGTAACAAACCAAATGTTCTTGAGCAAGAGATTTACTGTGTGAAAATTTTTCATCATCGACTTTTTTATTCTCTTAATATCTCTCCAAACACATTTTGGTTGGATTCCAAACTTAAATTCACATCTGTCTTCATCAATTAGAAAGGTATTAATGCTTTGAATTAGCTACGTATCGGTGTGCAGTGGACTAAATTTAATGTTTCTGTCCAAAAAGTGGCATTCTTTCCAAAGAAGCTCTTTATTCATTTCTATTCTGGGGTGGGGTTTTTACAGAGGGCAGAGGGGGGAGCTGAGGGGAGAGATAGGCTTTCACTACCATGATGCAGGAAAAAAAAGTGTGAGGTAGTGGTTATGCATATTGCAAGACAGTGATTCTTTATTTTATTACAAAAAAAGACCAACTCTAGAAGGCCAGATTAAATCATTCCTTTCACTTTTTAATGGGATTTGGATGAATAGAGTAAAATATGCACTTTGCATTCATTGATAGCATCTTTAGGTTGAGGTAATTGAGTCTTTTTTCCCTGACTGAATGAATAATGACTTCATCTGATCCTCAGCGAGGCCTGAAACTTAGGCTGCCTTTGTCAACGCAAAAAGATCTGGGCTTTGAAACATGCTCTACTTCCCTGGCTTAATTTTTCTTCATTTTAATCCAAAAACCTATTTTTCTCAATAATTCAAGCATAAACTATGTAGTAGTTGAAGCAGCGGAAATTGCAAGATATTTGTCCTCGTTGTGCTGCTTTTTAAATGCAGCTGATAAATCAGCCGCTGTGGTCTTCAGCTGCCTGGTTCTCTAGGGAAGGGACAGCCCATGTGTAAGCAAGATTGCTGGAATTTTGAAGAACTATATTTAAAGTGGTTCTTTTGCAGACTGTTTGTTATCTAAGGAAGTGTTATGTTTTACTGGTCTTACTGGCAAGACTTGGAGATAAAAGGGGCATCTGTGATGGGGCCTAGGAAACTCTTCCTGACATAATTTTCCCACATATTTTACTGACTGCAAGAGCATCCCAAAAAGCGGAGTATATATACTTAGCTTACAGCATACATTATTGAAATGGTGAGAGTCTTAGTTACATAGCTTAAAAATATTTTTTTCATGAGAAACAGTAGATGAAAGAGAGCCTCTCGGTGTTTTTGCTAAAATGGTTCTAAATCAAATACCTTTTTACTCAGGAAAAGTTGAAGCTCTGTTTTGCTATTTTGGTTGGAAAATGGATATTCTACTTGATTGTTGTTGTTTATTATTATGTTAAAATAACTGAAAGCTTCATACAATTAAAAATTATTTCTATGAAATTAGGTCAGATTTACAGACCCCTTTGGAGTACAGTTACAAGTTACGGTACACTAGTTTTGTGAATGAGAAGGTAGCTCGGTCACGTTTGTCCGTCGATTCTTGAATCTACCAGGTTTTTGATCTTCTAGCAGTAAACGAGCAGTAGCTACCCTACAAATATACAGCGCCAGCATTTTTGCTGCATGCGTGACAGAAGGAAAGCGTTCCTGCTCATTTGTTGATCTTTAATTGCCTTTTCTCCTGGCCCTCCTCTGTTCCTGTCCTGGATCAGGGGATGGGGGAGAGACGTGTGAGATGTAAAGGCATTCCAAACTGGCTGGGACAGTTCGCACTGGTTCCGGGACTTGTTACTGTCCTGTAACCACGGACCATCTCTTGCATGCCAGCATAGGAACAATAATCAATTCGGTTATCAAAATGCAGTTAATTGTTACAAGTGCTTGGATTTTTAATAGGTAGGAATAAAAAAAGCCAATAATACCTGATTGTTTGCACTGCAAAGTGTCAGTTGAAGAAAAACTAATGACTAACTTGATTTATACTTCTTCCTCTAGGTTGGCTTGCTGGATCTGGAGCTGAATCAACTGACCAAAGCCCTGTTTTTGGCTTTAGTTGCACTATCAGTTGTTATGGTAACCTTGCAAGGATTTGTAGGCCCATGGTATCGCAACCTTTTCCGGTTCCTCCTCCTGTTTTCCTATATCATCCCGATCAGGTATGTATAAGACTGAAAGAAAAACACAGATGTCTAATTTCACTGAATGTGGCTTTCTTGAAATTTATACTTGCTTCTCATTGAGAAGGAAATTGATCTTATCAGGAAGCTGAAGGAGAAGGTGCCAACAAATCTGCTGATTCTTGAAGGATCACTGTACAGAAAACAATACTGTTGTATTTTTTTGTATAATGTTAATCTTGCTGGAGTAATCAGGATATCTAATCCTTTACTAGCATAAATTTATTAATAAGGATACAATCTTGGTATATCTGAGAATGTGGTTTTAGGAAACGTGCATTTAAATGAACTGTTAGGTATATTTTGGAATTTTATTTTTAATGCTTAAATACTGAAAAGGTTCCATTTCTCTGGTTAAAATACAGACCTTTTACTACAACAATGATTAATTTAAATTGGCTGAATAATGTAGGTGCACTTTTACAATGAGAGGACTTTTAACATGTGTAACCAAGTAGAGACTTGCCCTGAATTAATTAATTCATTAAGCATGAGTACTGTATATTCAAATTGCAGATAAACTGGAACAGGAAATAATACCCATGTGTGTAATCAAGTCTTCTGTGGACACAGAAGTGAGAACACTGACTCTGAAATGAATTTTTTTTTTTTTCCCCTGAGTGGGTATTTCCTTTACAAAATGGAAATATTCTCTCCTGTTAAAATACCCAGTGTTTAGATTAAGGCGATTGTTAATTTTAGATGCTCTCTGAAACTCTTCAGTTTGAGATACATCATTCAGTAAGCCCAGTGGCTAGCTGCAGAGTTAGCAGCAACTAAACTGTAGACAGGTTTAAGACCTATCTCCTCAGGTTTGAACACAATATTTAAATTCATGTAGTATTAAAAAAAAAAAAAAAAGGATTTCATTAGGTATTTTAATCTAAGCTTACATGATTTATGTGTTACTGTGTTCACATTTTTTAAGTACGTGTCTATGTGAAGGAAACTATCTTATTTGAGCAATTTGATACTCAGGAAGTATCTCTCTTAAGGTTTTATAACTTAAAGGACCTGTATTTTCATACTATTTTTGTGTTGCAAGAGTGACTGATTCTGTTGGGAAGTTGAAGGAGAAGCTTCCAGCAAATCCCCTGGGGAGTTGAGGAGACCTCATTGTAGAAACTAGTCATCTTAGAACAGTTTCCACTTCCTTTAACTAGCTCTTGTTTTTTATTTACACATTCATATTTCAATGTTGTGATTTCTAAACACTGTTGTTGTCATAACTCCCTTACTGCTTGTATGATGCTGCTGTTCAGGTCATGTCGTCATTTGCCCCGTACCCACACAGTTACTGAGTATTAAGTAACTTATCCGTGTGAAGAGGCAAAAAGTGCTGCATTCAAGTGATAAGTAAAGTCTGCGTATTGCTGAAAGACGCACTTAATCATCAAAGACATGTAGGGGAAAGGAAAAATGAGCTAAGAGCATAAAGGATCACTTGTCAGTCACCGTGTTCTTCCATAATAAACATACTAAGCCAAAACTTATTAAAATGGTTAAAGGACAGATATATCTTTGTTACTAGATGCAAGAGGATTAAGAGCATATAGGTGGTGTAAGTAAATTTGACTCTATATTGACAGTTCAACATACTCCACTGAAAAACATGTTGATTGAGCAGCTCATTTTCAACTTAAGAGTTGTTTAGTGGACTTGTGGGATAGTTCTTTTCCAAAAATAATTTCTAGGATACACCCAATCCCATTTTTCAATTGCTTGTGGGAGATAATAGGCGAAGTGGAAGTAGTAGAAAATGTGATTGGTTTAGTTTTGAGATGGACCATATAGTTACTCTATGGAAGATCAGATAGGAATCTATCAGAGAATGCTTTTTCCTCTAGAGGTTTATCTTATTTCTATACCAAGTTTTCTTCAACTCAGATCATTCGTATACAGGGTCGCTTCCCACACTGTCAGCAAAATAAACAGCTCCAGTCATGCCGCTGTTCAAATATAACTATACTTCTCTTCCTCTCTTCTGGATGTTAAGTATGGAAATAACTTATTCTTTAGGCTGTATTTGGAGTGTGAACTCTTGGAGATGAAAATTGCAAGACTAATGATGCTGAAGCACCAGGTGTTGTGTCCTCTCATTATTTTTAAAATAGCTGTATGGGGGAAATAATGAACTTTTCACAGGTAAAGGAAATGAGCATGGGAGAGTAGGATTGACTGGTTAGAGGCAAAGTATATCTGAACTCATGCATGCATGAAATGTGTTGATTGATGGTTTTAGAGAATTCAGGAAGTTTCTAAATACAGAGCTTTTTTGCAGTTCTGTTTGGATTTTGGTTTGCAGGGCAAGGGAAATTCTAGGTATGCAATAAAAATAATTTTCCATGGCCAAACATGTTTGGTGAAGATCATCAGGAGGAGGTAACTAACTGTTAGCAGAGTTTAACTGATCTCTGCACAGTATCTCCTATAATTGATAGGAAGAGGACCTTTTTTTTTTTTGCCCTGGGACCAGCTAGTTCCTTGTGATTCAGCTGCATCCTCAATATTCCTCTAGATCAATGTTGCTTCACTGTGTGAAGGGTATTAACCATGGGGCATGTAAGACTTCACAAGCATGAACATAAAGCAACTGTAGAAAAAAACCCCAACACAACCAAACAAAAACTACCCCAACAACCAATGCCTGCCACCCCCCAAAAAAAAAATCCCAGCCCACAACATTGCACACATTCTGTAGTGTACAAGGAATCAAGCAAAATGGAGAAAAAGTAGTAGTAAACAAACATTGAAAGCTTAGCCCAGCTCTTAAGTGCTTGTAAGTTAGAACTATTATGCACAAAATGTTTTGAACAGCCCCATACCCCGAGAAATGTTTGACCCTTAAAAAATGACTCTTCTCTAATTGACGTTTCTTCTTCCCCTTTGGAGGAAGCATAGCCCAGGGAGCCTCTGTAGGCAATCTGTCTCCCTACAAAGTTAATCTATTTTAATTTCTTCAGATTTATTGGGAAAGGAGGATAGAAAGCAGTACTTGACAGACTATCCAAACCAAAATAAATCTCTCTAGGATTATGCTCACCCATTCTCTGAGTTTTTCCATGTTCCTCTGTATTCTTAGGCTTTTTTCTAGTTGGCTCTAGCCAGTTTGAGATGCATTAATGGCTATCCATAGGTTCCTCGAGTGTCACTGAGACCATTTCATTACTTGTTTTAAATAAAATCATTGATTGAAATACATTCTCCATTAGTTTACGAGATCTTGCCTGACTATGTCACCTAGTGCAGTTATCACATAGGCTGGGGGAGCGTGTGTCCTCAGATATCCATGCTGCTGCTCTTTGTGATACCAGCATGGAAGTTCTTAGGCCTGTGGTGTTTCCTTTTCTTTTTTTTTTTTCTTTTTTTTTTTTTTTTAAATAGTAAGGTCCTTTTGTTGAACACCTTGTGTTTTTTTGGATTATTTATTTTCTGAGTGACAAAGGCCAGAGGGCAAAACCAGTCACACTAATGAAAAGTCAGCACCTCAGGCGGAGGAAGATGAGGTAAAGCTTTGTCATTGTTATACTATCTTGTACCTGGTTACCCAGTTTGACTCTATTACTGTGATTCTTTTTGGTTTGCGTCCGCCCAAAATGTAGCCAAGAAAGTTGGGGTGGCGGTTTTTTTCAAGATAATTTAGGCTTCGCCAGGCAGTGTTCAGCGAAATTACTGCCTCGCGTACACAGGCATGTGAGTCCTGTAGCTGTACATGCTTCTGCCCAGCTGTTAAGAAACGTAGAGGATTTACCATAAAATGATAAGGTATTGACTGGGGATCTGGTAAAAATATGTATGGTCCAGGCTTTATATTTAGTAGCAGTTTAAAGCTGGCTTGACAGGGGCTTAATCAGCTGTCTTTTTAGGAGGATCCTTTAGTTTTGGTGTACACAGAAGCTGAAATGTCTTTTATCCTTTCCTTCAGACACCCCAAGGCTCCTGAGCACGGAGCCATTCTGCCAAAATAAGCTGTCCCAAACGTTCGGAAGGAACTGCCTTGCACTTAAGTGGTAAAGTTTTGGGGCACTACCTGGCTCCCGGCTGCTTTTTTCTGGGTCTTTAAGGAGCATTTAAAGAAGGTCATTCAGGTTATGTCAGTCTGTTTTCAGTGGGCAGTGAGGAAAACACTGCTAGGGAGTCTTGTATCTGAAATTCATTAATAGCCAATCAAATCCCAGACCATACAAATATGAAAAAGGAGGTTTTATTCAGTGTGCTGCTGTGTATTCCTGAGATCCGGGGAACTCACGCCTATGCAGGACTGTAATGCCTATAACAGCAGCGAGCAGCTATTGTAGTTTGTGCTGTCCCTGTTGGAGTTCTAATCTGTATAACCTGTAGATGTGAGAGTATCAGTATATGTAGTCTCACATATACAGGCAGAATATATTTTAGATACATGATGCAAAGCTTTCAGGGTGGAAGAGCTAAAGAGCTGCTCATAAAGTAGTTTAAGCAGTCCTTATAAATGTGTATTATGCTTCTATACCATACCATGATATATAATGCAATCTATATAGAGACTGAAAAATACTATATGAAGCTGCTTGGTATTTTACAAACTAATTTTGACTTCTTCATGCAACAGGGCCTATGGTGTGTGCCTCTCATGCTAAGAGTAAGTCTTATGCTGCCCAGTGTGGTGCCGTACTACTGCCTGAGCTAGCTTTGTGCTTTTCTTACAATGTCTGGTATTCGCGCTACATAGAGAAAGCACAACCAGTTTTAAAAAAAGAAGTCATTTTTTTAACTGATGTATTGCAGTAGATCTTTTTCATTTCTAACCTTGCAACATTGCCTGTTTGCTCCTAGTTTTTTTTCTGGTTTTAATCTAATAGTATTACAGTAAGTAATGCCAAATTTGTCTGGAATACACTAAAAATATTCGTGTTTTAAAAATTATTTGTCTTAGACATCTGGTGTCAATATTGTTGCCATTGTGCAAGAGGCTTAATGAAAGAAGGCATCTGACCTGATAA